TACTACAAAAGATGAGAGCTGGGTACAGACTAGCTAAGGACATGAAGCCCATTAACCACCTGCTATTCATGGATGATCTGAAGTTGCATGGAGCTAGTAGAGATCAACTGGACTCACTCATTCAAGTAGTAAGGATCTTCTCACAAGACATTAAGATGTCGTTTGGGTTAAACAAGTGTCCTGTTCAGGAAATGAGAAGGGGATGACAAGTTGGTAGTGGTGGAATAGACTTACCCGACAACCAGCACATCGGGGAAATAGACGAAGAAGGCTTCAAATACTTGGGCATACTACAGTTGGACCAGACTCTCAACACCAAGATGAAAGGCAAGATAACATCAGAGTATACCAGAAGAGTCAAGAAGTTGTGTTGAATGGCTGTCTAGACACAAGGAGTAACGTTGCGAGGCTGTACTTTCTGAGAAAGGAAGGGGGAAGAGGACTGATTGACATCGAAGAGTGCGTAAAGAGGGAGAGCAAATCTCTTCATGGTTATCTGAGTGAGAGCACAGAATGGATGCTTCAAGCTGCATTGAAGGGGAAGATTATTGTTGAAGAAGAGAGCCTATAGGACTATGAGAGGAGGAAGAAAGAAGAGAAAGTTAAAAACTGGAAGGAGAAAGCCCTACACGGTGAGTTCATCCAAAAAATATCAGATGAAGCTGGAGAGGAGTCCTGGAGATCGTTAAGGAACGGATTTTAAAAAAGGAGAGAGAAGGTTTGATTCTGGCGGCTCAGGAACAGGCATTAAGAACAAACTTGATCAAGTATAGCGTAGACTAGACTTCAGAAACGCCACTGTGTAGACTGTGTGGAGACACCACTGAAACAATCAGACACATTGTCAGTGGATGCAAGAAGCTTGCCCAAAGAGAGTATAGGAAGTGCCAGGACAAGGTGGCCCTGCGGATACACTGGGACATGTGCAGAAAGTATGGAACACAGTGTACTGACAAGTGGTATGACCACCAACCCTTGCCAATCGCAGAAAATGGAGAGGTGAGGATTAACTGGGACATGACTAACTACACAGACAAAGTGCTGAGGCATAATCCGCCAGACATGGCCTAATTCATAAAGACACACAGAAATGGACACTTACTGATATAGCTGTGCCAGCGGATCAGAACATCACCTGGACCGAGGAGGAGAAGGTGGAAAAGTACCAGGAACTAGCATACGAAATCAGAAGGATCCATGTCCATGGAGCCTTGAAGTCACAATAATACCTATTGTGATTGGTGCTCTCGGAAGCGTATCGAAAAGATCAAAGGCCTGTTTTGGCAAGTTAGGTGTACCTGACTTCCTTGGCAGTGTTCAATTATCGGCGATCCTTGGAACTACTCATCTGTTGCGAAAAGTGTTGTGTCTCTGAGCTACGGGAAGTTGCTGAGACACAAACAACGTTACCCAGTGGAAGACCAGACAACTGGAGAGAAGTGAAATAATAATAATTGTAATAATAATAATAATAATAATAATAATAATAATAATAATAATAATAATTGAATCTGGACAGCAGACTTATGACTGCCCTAGGCTCATGGATTGAACTCAGCA